GAGGCTGCCCTCACCTCCCCTCTCTGCTCAGAGGCTGCCCTCACCTCTCCTCTCTGCTCAGAGGCTGCCTTCACCTCCCCTCTCTCCCAGAGGCTGTCCTTACCTCCCTTCTCTGCTCAGAGGCTGCCCTCCACTCCCCTCTCTCCTCAGAGGCTGCCCTCCCCTCCTCTCTCTACTCAGAGCTGCCCCCTTCTCCTCCCTGCTCAGAGCTGCTCTCCCCTCCCCTCTCTCCCAGAGGCTGTCCTCACCTCCCCTCTCTTTCGCACTCTGCCCTTACCTCCTTTCTGTTCAGTGGCAATCTAGCCTCTCCTGCTCCTTGAGCTCTGTTCTCCTCCTGTCTATATGTGGTTCTGACTCCCAGAGTTTCCACACGAAAAAGACTGAATACATAGTTTCTCTGGCCCTGTTTGCTCTCTTCTATCCCCGCTGGAGCTGATCCTCACAAATGCAACAGTTGCCCTTTGGTTCTACTCTGATGCCTCTCCAGGTGCTAGCAACTGCTACACTCAGGCAAGAACAACTGACCATGGCTCTGGCTTGCTGTGCTTACCTGTCGCTGTTGCCCAGGTGGGTAGGAAGGCATCTTGGCCAAATATATACAAGGGAAGATGCCTAAGACTCTGTTAATCTTTGGCCCCGGAATGACTAAAGTCAGCATATCCTGCCTCCCAGTAAAGTGAGAGTTGTGGGATGGGTTGAGTCTCAAGAAAGACGAAGCTCACATTGGCATTGGATGGAGATGTATGGTGACAGCAGGCCAGATCTTTCTTCCCTTTGGCAGAATGAGGTGGCTAATCATGCATAGAGGGATGGGGGACTTTTCCCCAGTAACTGGAGGCCACAGTGACCAAGTACCGAGGATCAGTGACCCTGGGAAGTCAGTGTAGAGAAGAAAGGTCAAGAGAGCCAAGGATTGGTTGACAAGAGGGCCATCGTGGCAGGCAGGGGATGATAAAATGGAGAAGGGGATGTGTTGTGAGTTGGGTCTTCCAGGAAGCAGACTCTGAGTTGGAGATTTGTGCATAGTTAGTTGATAAGGGAGTGATGCTGGGATCAACATCTGGGGAAGGAAGAGAAGAAAACACAATTGGACAGAGGGCGGAGTTGGTCTGTGATGCAGTCTTAACAGAGGCCTTGGCCAACCCCATGGGGAAGTCAGAAGCTGAAATAACTCTTCAGAGTTGTCCTGAATTGGGGCAAGGAGCCTGGATCTTTATTTTGCCTTAAGAAGAGGGTATGCTTTGCTCTTTTTAGCTAAAGCAATTCCCAAAGAGGGCTAACAGCTGAGCACTAGCCCTGAAGGGGGACTGTAGGAAGCAGTGCCCCGAGGTATCCACTATATTGTGCAATTTGAGGAATCACAAGCAGGATGCCCAGAGAAGGGGAATCTCCGGAAGGTCTGTGAAGAATTAACAAAAGCTCTAGGTATTGTGAGCGCTAGACCAGGAAAGGGTCTCTCCACACGCTTGTCCCCACCCTGTCCCCACCCCTCCCTTCTTTACCTTGGTAATTTCACAGGAGCACTGTGGTTGGGATGAGAGAGGCCCTACCAGGATTTTAGCCCACCTAGGGCCAATAGGAAGTGATCGGCTCTTTTCGCAAAAGATTGGACCACAACGGTTTTGACTTTTCAATATGCTGATCGGGAAGCCACTCCCTACTGCCCAGGTTTCTGACATTGGCTTGGCCCCAGTGTGGCATCTCTCCAGCTATTAGCGCAATAGGTTTCTAGAAGACTAGCCAATTTTCAATTGTCTTAACGGTCATTTTGGGATAAAGTTGAATCTGAATGAACCCATGTGCCAGCATGTATGCTTAGAGAAAACAGTCAGGCCCTGTTTCATTCTTGAAGACTGAGAGCTTTTCTCCACAACCTCAGGTGTGATTGGGGCCAGAGACGAACTGATAACTTACTATATTGCATTTTGTAATGACCCCACTGATGTTATCTAAGTTTTAGTCATGTGGGAGTACTTGTGTGTGTGTGTGTGTGTGAGTGTGCGTGTGAGCGTGCGTGCACGCTTCACTCTAAAGCAAAACTTGCTCCAGATATTAGGGGCCCATTGGATAATGGTTTCTCACTTGGCTTCTCTGAGTTTCTTCCACCCATTCTGCACTTGCATCCTCCTACCCCTCACTGTACCTTAGTAGTCTTCTGTCCATATCATTTGCTACTGATGGTTTCAAATGTAGGAAGCTCCTTTCTGATGATATATATCTCCTTTCTTCAGTCTTTCCAGCCTCTTCCAGTCTCATTTTAAATATTACAGCTCATCATTTTGAACACTGCAAGCACTTTGAATGATTTCATTGGCTATGGTTTAGTTTTTGTGTTAAGATTCAATGGGTTTATTTAAA